GATACAAAAGGACTATATATGAAAATTGAGCAGAATGAATGGAACTCGGGAATGAGGTTACATAAATGAGGCTATGGGTATTTTAAACTATCTCGATACTCTTATTAAGCAAAATGGATGCGTATCCATTCACATCATGAACAAGCTTGGTATGAAAGAAAGTTTGAGAGAATGCACACATTGAAATCCTTAGATAAAATCTTGCATTCGTTTTTATCCGGTTAGGCTAGATTTCTTACCATATAGTGGATATGAACACCAAGATGGTGTGGCCTTCTATTTGGTCACAGTCTTCTTTAACTTTATAGTATTGGTTCGACCTCGTTTTTGCAACTTATACCGAGCATCAGGGAAATCTTGTGGAACGTACGTAGTCCTGTGTCATCTGCCATAGTATTCGTGATTACCAGAATCGGTAAATTCCAAAACGTTTCGCCGGCATCGTCAGTGAGAGGCGCCAGCGTAAGCAGAGAGTTACAACTATGTGAAATTCAATAAAAACGTCAGCTCTACTCACATCATTGTGGGAAAATTCTACTACCAGTCCTTCATCATCTTTGACGAAATAGGGTGAATACATCTCATATTATATATTAGTAGTTTTATTATGTATTTATTAGTGGTTATTAGTATTTATAACTATATATATGTATTTATGATCTACTGGTATTTTTGAAAACTAACTTATAAACATAAAAAGTTTCTTATTTCCTAACTAATGATTATTTCGAAAACTACCCACATCAAAATTAAGTAACGTTCTCGATTGCTATGACAAATTTATGTTTGCTTAATCAACAATCTGACGATAAATTATGAAATGAGAAAGACCTTGCTTGCCTTGAGCTTTGCATTTGCCATCTGATCCATGGGAACCCTGGACCGCGTAGCCGTATGGCCGCGTGGTTTAAGTAGTATTTTTTAGTATACTCACGATCCGGGTTCGAATCCCGTTAATTGTGTCGATGAGACCATTTAATTCGAGATCAATACTACAATGCATCCTAAGGGAGATTAAACTTTATGATGCACAAGTAAGTGAAATTCAACGGTATCATGAGGCCAATTTATCCGTTTGCATAGAAATGCAACTACCAGGCCTTAAATCACCTGAAATGACCTAGGCTGGCTATCTTCTAATTCAAGATTTGTTGATAGTCTCAATGACTACTCACCTAAAAATCCTTCCCGTTATCTCTTCATGCTACATGTACCCCCCAAGCCTACAACGTCATGCGAGGTATAGAGGTATTGGCTAGTTCATGTCATATCAGTTTAAAGAATATTTACCGA